GCCCGAAAGCACCCTCCCCCCCGTAGATCCGCCCGTGATCATCCCAATTTACTTGTTTTATATTCATTTAATATCTAGTAATACTTATATTTTCCTTGTATTTCTGAGGCTATTTTTTCTTCTCTATAGATGGTTCATATCATTGGGTTAAAACCCAATGAAAATGATAAAAAATTAGTTCTGATTATTTACAACCTAGGGCATTTAGATTTATGACGGACTACCATTGATTAATTTTCTTGTATTAATCAGGTAAAATATGCTAAAATATTTGAAGTTAATCGATGGAACAGACAAGACGGAATGCGAAGGTTGCGTGCTGGAGAATATACTGGACTTATAACTAGCGGTCAGTTATGGCTCCAGTTAATAAGTTCAAGCCGGCCTCCGTAGGTAAAGCTCGTTTCTTTTTAAGTACCTCGTTATACTTGCAACCTCTTTGGGTGTCTAATATTGTAGAACCATGCAGAAATCTTCCTATCGCAAACTATTTTCAAATTTGATTATGAATTTCAGAAATGATAATAGATTAAAAAATGTTATAGGTTGGAAGAGATGCTGAAGTGGTCTGGACTGTGCTAGGTAACGAATGTGGAGGAATGGCCACGTCATGGCCTAACTCATATAGTGGTGTACGTTTCTGATATTTTTAAAAAACGTAAATGAACTGTTCGTTGATAAAAAATAACAGTTCTTAAAAACTGTTGGAAAAAACAAAACAATAGTTCATGGAACGACTAGATCATTTGTGAAATACGATTCTATAGTTTTGGGTGCGGTCATTATTAAATACTAACTAAAAATAACAGATACCCCCATACCAGACTGAAACGGCTAGAAACCGCCCGACGTTTTCGACTACTGCAGCACTTACTAGACAAACGCTCTAAGCTTTCAATCAATTACAAACAACTCATATATATGACAATAATAAGACCTATTTGGACTTACGGAATTGAGCTTTGGGGCTCCACTAAACCATCGAATTCCTCTCGTATCCAATCCTGACAATCCAAAATCCTTCGTAAAATCCTCAACGCTCCTTACTTTGTCACAAATAAAATCATCCATAAAGACCTTAATGTTCCATTTGTTTTCGATTTGGCTCAATCCAGATACCTATCCTTCCATAACAAACTGCAGAACCATCCGAATCCTCTCGTTTCAAACCTTGCTTCCTCCTCGATCCTGATAACCCTCCAAGGCGTCTGAAAAGAAGATGGCCTCGGGACCTTCTAATATAGTACTTTAATTTGAGTTCTACCAATGGGTAGTTTCTCTTCATGTTGTACATGTCATGTTACCAATGTCACATTTACTTGTTGTGTTTCTCATGTAATACAGTTGTAAATTTCATTAAAAAAAAATAAAATAAATTAAAAAAAAAATAGATCTGAAATAGAATGAAAAATGTCATGAATGAAGTCGGGCGTTATTCGAATTTAATGTGGATATTTTTTTTTTATTTAATAATATTAGGTAAATATTTATTTTAAAATTATTATTTTCCAAGTCGAACATGTGATATAAAGGGAAATATTTGGAACTTGTACAAATATTCAGAACTGTTGTTGCAATTAAACCAAAAAGTTACAAAACATTATTTGCTGTCTGCAAGACACAATTATAGATAGACACTTTTAAAACATAAGTTAATTTTGTTGTAGTAACACCTAAAAATATGTTAATAATAGGCAGAATATTTACAGAAAGAAACATGACTAGGAAAAAACACTGTTCCGTTATTTTCATGATGAGATGAGAGAGGTTTAAAAACGGTTTTAACTGTCTGGAAAAACGAAACGAATAAACAACTCTACTATTGGCGAACGGGAGAACTAAATAAAACCAACTGTAGTCATCTGTTTGAAAGAACAGTTCATTAGTTTTAATTATTATTATAATATATTTTGAATTTTTTTTTTATTTCTGACAAGTGGCGAGCACCCCTGGAAATCAAGAGGCGCCCCTCCACGTGGGCGTCCCGGGGCTATTACCCCGGATGCCCCACCATGAGGCCAGACTGTTCATAAGACTGTACAACTACTTGACTAGTTAACATAACTGTTATCTTCTGTTAACTTATCTGTTACAAAAAAAACAAACGAAAAATCGACCTGATCGCAGGCGAAGGTTTGATTGTAAATTACGAAAGTGTATGTTATTCTAAGTAAAATGAACCACGTCTGCCATTCCAGAGCCGCTGCTTTCAAAAATGGTGGCTGATTTAAAGAATATTAGGCCAGTAACTTGAGGATCGAAAAGAGAAACCTATTTCGAAAAACGTGAGCAAAGTTTATATTCTTTCAACTTGTGTAAATGGGTTTAGACATGTAAAAGAAAATCGTAACGCGAGCCACCAAGGGAAAACTTTTTACGGTCAACCAACATTGATTTTTACCAAATTTGTCAAAAATTAAGACAAATTACTATAAATGGCCCTGTAACGAGTTCCCTAAGAGGAAAAAACCCATAGAATCAAAATTGTAGAACATCAAATTTTGCGTCCACTGGTTACTGGCATTTTTATTTTACAAATTTTGTATTTATCAGTGTAGATTGACCGTAGTTTTATACCTTGCCGCGTAACCAAATTATTAAGTTTATGTACTAGTTCGACGCACAATTTAATGTTCCTTAATTTATTGAAGAATACATTTTTCGCATCGATGCATCGTTTAAGAGTTATAGGTGAACAAATCTTACATTTTTGGCTGTAATAAGTTTTCCCTTGGTGGCCCGCGTTAGCAATTTTTTGTTTACATGTCTAAACCCATTTATACCAGTTAAAAAAATAAAATCTTTTCACCCATTTTTGGCAATGGATTTGTCATTTCGATCCTCATGTTCTGTAATGGCAAACAAGGTTCATTTTACTTGGAATAAGACATACTTCCCTAATTTACATGCAAACCTTCGCCTTCAATCAGGTCGATTTTTGGGCCCTGGCTCCAAGACTAATAACGTAGAGTATCGTATACTATTTAGCTCTCTCACACTATCGTCTATTAATAAAAGTATTTATTTTAAAATGTATTTTATTATATAAGATAAGAGCACGTTTACAAAGTAGAGCTCAAACAGTTCCTAGGTGTCAACCGTTGTTTTATCGTAGGTCGGATTACTACCACCAACCGCAAGGGCTCGCAGGTACTTCAGCAAGCAGGAAGCTCGACCGTTTTGTTTAAACTGTTTATGGTTCAACAAGGGGGTAGGGGTTTTCGGGTTAAAATTCCCCCTCCCTCACTAATGGTAAAATGTAACCATGTTTTATGGTAAATTAGGTCTTAAAGTATTATTTCTCGTTTAATTTCATGTAATAGCACTTCCAGAAGTACCTAAAGGCCATTTATTATAGGTAGTTAGCATCTTTATATTTTCCAAAGTAATTATCGTTATATATTTAAAAAAAAAAAAAAAAAACCTGGACCACTACAACCCATTAATTAAGGGTTTAGGGTTCAGTACTATTTAGGGAAAGCACTGTTTCTAGGTCAACGGTTGTGCAAGCAGGTGGTTTGACCGAGAACACTCTCAACAGCCAGGTTTTCCCCCTAATTATTTTATTAATAATTATTAATTAATTATTTAATTAAGGGTACCCACTTTATAGAGGCTGGGTACGCACCAGGAGGGTCTCCCGAACCAGGGTCGCCCCACGGCCAATGAAACAGATAAATAAATTTTCTGCCATGAGCCGGGATTCGAACTCGGGACCTTTGCATTGGAAGCTCAGTGCCCTACCACTGAGCTACCCCGCTCCATTATATATATATATATATATATATATATATATGAAAAAAAAAAGTTCCGGGCTGAAGCTCCCTCCAAAATTAAATCCTGGATCCGCTAGTGTGCTTCACCAATGTTTTATCGGTTTTTGAACATTATAAAAAAATGGTTCTTAAACAAGTTATTAATTTTCAAATCATTTTTGAGCTCATGGAATAATTCACAGAGCAATATTTATCTCGGAATTCGACCTGGAGCTCGAAATCGATCGAAAATTCTTGTTAATTTCTTTCAGAGATTATTTTGAATTACACGATTATTTTAATCTGATGCTATCAAATAATAATTTAGTGGTCGATTTAATGTCTAAAAAACATTTTTAATTTTCAATGTCAAAGTTTTGTACTACATTATAATTTCTTTTTTTTTAAATTGCCTGTCAGGTCGCTATATTTTAAAAACATATTTATGATTCGCCTTTACATGCTCATCTAATTAGCTTTAAACTGTAATAGGGTAAACGAACCAGTTATGAACAGGGGATCCAGTTATGGACAAGTTGGACTTGTAATGTAAATATTATGCTTCCTTGTTTATTTAAAGGTTTCATTTTTTTCTAGATTGAAGAACAATGCCCTCTATCGATACAAGTTTCCAAAAGAAAATTTTAAAATGCCTATGATTGTTGTTTCCATAGTGCTCTCGAGATCCGTGTGTTCAACAAATGTTGAATAAATATAAAATTTACTTTACTTGCTGAATTACAGCCAAGTGAGAAGCGTCAAAGCTAGAATTAATTAAGGAACTAGTGAATACCAAAACAGATATTGTTAACATTAAATAACGAGATGTTTCCTAGTATGACTAATTCAGCTTCTGTGCCTCTTAGATTTTGGTAACTGACGCAAGTGCTTATTCATAGAAAGTCATTGGACGGTCTATTAGGGCTATGTTGTGAATTGATATAAATGATGTTCCTTTAAATAGAAATGATTAACATAAAACCCTAATTGAAATTCCACCAACTCTTTTTTTTGCTCTCTATTTCTCTTTCCGAAAAACGAATTTTATTTACTGAAATAGCTTCACTTCACACCTCGTGGGTTTTTAGCGACCAGGTGCCCCACCACACACTTTTCCGAATCGAACAGTTTACTCATGTTTGCGAATTATGATGGTCATATCTTGGGTGCTGCTATCGACCAAAAGTTGTCCTGGATACCAGAAGGTTATTCTATCATTCCCATCTTCTTCCACAACCTATACGCATGCTCCTTGTACCTTCACTCATTTCCCCCACTTTGACTACTGCTTTGTGTATTCGAGGACAGATTGAAGCGAACCATGCATTGCTCCCTATGATTTGTCTTCTGTACATGGAGGAGGCATTGCGTGCCCCACTTCTACGACGAGTAAAAGCGGATCTTCACCTCCTCCCGTCGAGAATATTTCCTCGATCCTTCTTATACCAAACTACCAACTCCCGCACCCTCCCTACAACAAGATCTTGTGTTTCAGACTTCTAAAATCCCTTCTCTTTTCTGCTTTACTTAAATCACTGCTTTCTAAAATTTCCTGTCATAAAATATTCTTCATGCTCCATGGATGCACTTAAGGGGATTGATTGGATGGTACAAGTTGCGCCATCAAAATTCTTTAAGGGGCACATTTTTATAGGTTTTGAATTTTGTAGGGAACATATATTAACGGAGTTATGAATTTTGAAGGAAAATTTATTTTTGTGGAGTTTCAATATGGGAGGGTGGTACGCTCTTGAACTTGGGGAGAAGATAACAAACATTACATCGAATAAGTTTTTGCTGAGAATTACTTTCGCAAATTTTATAGCGATACATGAACTAATGACATGACAGGCATGGGGAAGGAAAGTACATAGCAGTAACTCTTCCCTGACTTGTTCCAATTACTTAGGTTGTTTAAGGAAGAAGATCTCTCATCCAACGCCGTTTTAATCTACTCCTCATGTTCTGAGGTATGTCAGCAGTGGCCATGTCTCTTATTAGTCTGTTATTATGTCCATCTACATTAGTGTAAAATCGTTGATAAAGGATCGTTATATGTTGATCAACTGTTGGAAGGTGGAAGTCGGTATGTAGAGTTTTGTACCAAAGTGCTTTTGTCATGAGTCGCAATAATTTTGATTGGAACGTTTGAAGTTTTTGTATGTGGGTCTTTTTAGCGATGCCGTATATTTGTTACGAGTACGTCCATATGGGTTTAAGTAAATATGTATTAGTTCAGTTTCTGTTTTAGTTTTAGTTTTGAAGATTTAGAGAAAAGATAATTAAGTAGTCTGAGCCGTTTGTTAAGTGTCTTACGTTTCATTTTAACATGCGGACTCCAAGTCATCCTTCTGTCGGAGGTGAGTCCAAGGTCCGTTTGAGGAATTTGATTCTTGTCAATATAAACTGGAGGGCAGGTGTTTTTTCGAAGAGTAAATGTTGTCTGTTGGTCCATAGTGTGAACCAATCTTGTAATTTTTAAGCAAGTGATATTGTAGAATTACGATTTATCTCGAAAACTACATTTTTGTACTTTAGCAGACAGAACTAGGTTTAGTTCCAAAGGATGTCAGGGCAGTAATCATTGAAACACAATTCATGCTGTTTCCAACCTTAATACATAAATACCTGAGTTTTTTAACCTCTCATTTTTTTAATAACTGCTTATTGTAGTTGTAGAAAGGTTTCTTAGCTCATTTATTAAAATTCATCGCTACTAAGAGCTCGATACTTGCGTATTATGTAGAGTGTAGAGTAGATCCATTATAAGCTTGCGTCTGATTCGTGTCGCCCCCTTAGCCACCCACACTTCTGCTGTGACTTCTCAGAACTCTCTTATTTAATATACTGACCTGAAGTCGAGTTATTGCTGCAGGCGCCCAAGGATCTATAAATCCTCATGAGGAAAAACAACTTGAACTTTTATATATTTTTTTCTTTTTTAGCTCCTTTAACCGGGTGCAGTAATAACTAATAACCATCGAGGAGGGCAGGTATAGAGGATCCCTTTCTTTACAAAGAGGATTCCATTATTATGATCTGCGTAATTACAGAGCCAAGGCCGGCCATTCAGTCTTAGCTTAGATACGGTTTTTGTAGCGCTCCTATCGGATGGTTACTAATTACAGGGCCCCGGGGTATTCACTTCGACTCCTGGACATCGGGAGGCCATGCACCGCCGATGGTCGCCTGGGACAAGAACCAGGATGTACCGCAATAAGCTGGATGCAAACATTTTATTATTTAATTAGGTTGATAAGTGGAAGTTGCAAGATGCAGGCCGCACCAGATTTTTTAATTTATATTTTTATATCCCTACATATATATTGGGTTGTCCGGAAGATAATGCAGGATTTTGTTTTATAAAGAAAAAATCTGGTGTGTCCACTCACACGACTTCCCTACCTATTTCAGAAAAGTTTTTATATCTTTACATATGTTCTTGAAGAAGCAAAAAAAAAAAAAAAAAAAAAATTGACTTAGATTTATTTTCCTGAAAATTTATCAAAAAAAAGATTTGATAATGATTTATTTGATAAACTAAAGCAATGTAAACCGGCTTAAGGTAGATCAGTGTAAAAATTTCAATACTCTCTAATATTTCTGATCAAAAACGTTTTGCCATAGCTTAGTATTGTCAAACAATAATTTCTGTTAAAAGTAGAGGAAATAGTGAAGCTTGAGTGATGCGGGCAACAGATTTTCTTACTTTCACTTAATCATCTTTTTTCTCTCATTTATCCCTTTCTTTCACCAGGATATGAACCCGTAATCTTACGTTGAAAATTGAATAGCTGTAACTTCGTTAATAGTTGTCCAAAATGAACGATTTTTATATAGTTTTGTAGGGAATTTCATTACCTTTCAAAAGTGTTATAATAAATTTTACCGTATGATATATACTTAGAGAGGTAGGCCCCATAACATTTTTCTTTTCTTCATAAATTATTTCCCTGAATTTTCTCGGGAATTTAGTCCATATACGAAAATTGAAAGGACAATTATTAGAATATTATAGGAAAGTTTCATCAAAATCGTGGGAACCGTTTTCGCACTACAGTCTATAGAAAAACATGTTTTTCATTTATTGAGCGGAAGCTATTGCGCATAGAGCATCGAATATCTGTCACAGGCATCAGTAGGCAAAACCCTACAAAATAAAAAAAGAAGAAACAAAATCGGTTCAGCAGTTCCCGAGAAAATATTGGCACAGACAGACCAATGGCTAAAAATGTGTTTTTCGGACTCATGGGGCTCTGAAACGTATAGATTCATCGAAAACCGCATGTCGGAAATTTGACCCGATTGCAATACTTTCCTTACCTAGTATAAAGTTAGGAAAGAAAAAAGAAATTTACGACTGTTTTATTTAATCAAAATAGTCTCCACTACTGTCAATACATTTGTACCAACGAGTTGGCAACTTTTCCATTCACTCGGAATAAAATTTCCCATATTTAGGATTGATAAACTCCAAAAACGTAATTCCCTTTGTCCATTAAATTTTTTGTCACCTAAGTAGTGGTCCGGAGATTAGGGCAGAGTATCCTATCCTAGCTCCAACAGTTTTTGTGACGTCACACGTGAGACATGTGGCCGGGCGTTTGCATGCAATAAAATGGACCCAGAACGTCTACTGTTATCGTTAGGTATCCACTTCTCATCACAAATAACAATTCTGGACAGAAAAGGGTCGTTTTTGTTTCGGCAAAGAAGTGCACAAACTTCATAACGCTGGTTATTTTTTTCTATCTTTCCAACCGCCTTGAGGTGGTCATCGACGGTCGATTTCTAAGGTTAAGTTTTCCTGCAAGTTCTCAAATAGATGTTCTGGGGTTTTCTGCCACCAAAACCCGCACAACATAGTCATCAAGAGAGGAAGCCCTTTCACGATCTTCTTTGTCTTCAAGGCTAAAGTCTGCCTCAATTACGATTACGTTGAATTTACTATAACAGGATTCGACATTACGTTTTCCCTCAACCATCATAATATGAATGGATTACAGTTATCCATTGAATTTACGAAAGCCTCCCATGATTATTTGCACGCAAAGCAATTGGAAAAGGATTCTGGAAGACATTAAATAGTTTAGCGATATTCCGTTATGTAAAGTATGAATCATTCTGGAGGCATGGAATATTAAGCTATTATTTAAGTTTGATGAGAATAAGAAATTATACCCAAGTTACTGGCTGAGGCAATATTGGATCATACATGCCTATTTCCAGCATTGGATTCAGGTCTTATCGCTTTTTTTTTTACAACGGTAATTATAAGAACAATAATGCTTCTAGAAATAATTTTCTTAACACGTGCTTACATTTAGAAATTGAAGTATATTACATTTAAAATAGAGCATGTAGTGATTCTTTAAGTATTAATATAAATTCTATGGACAAGAACATGGACTAATGAAAAAAACTTTATGCTTTATTATTTAAAAAACAAATATGTCCTCATATGCTACTTCAGGAATATTTAAGAAAACCATAAAACTTTTGTTTTGGATTTTTTTTTTCGTTTATCACCTATCACTCATGAACGATACATCCAAAGGAAAACATACGGAATAGTATCATAAAAGTTACTTTAACTTAATGATTGGTTACGTGTAGTGGTCGAACACCTAGGTCAACAAATTTATAAAACGCTGAGAGAATGAGAAATACAAAATCATGAAATGAAAGTTGTCGTAATCTAGTTTTTGAGTGATTTGCTCAATTCCATATCATGTAAATAGTTTTAACAATCGACCGGATATCGTTTGTATTATTTGTTATACTATTTCTTTTTTTTTTTTTTTTTCATTAGCCGTAGATCGACTCTGGGATCGAGGGACTCTCCTGGGGACACACCCAGCTTATGAGCTTATTTAAGGAAAATTAATTAAGAGAGAAAGTCTGGCGGTTGAGCTTGATATCGGCCCAATCACCTCCCTGCACAACCGTTGTCCTTGTAACACTTACATTACTTCCTCACATAATACTGAACTGCAAAAAACATGCAACTCCAAAAAACAGTAACATTATAATAACAGGAATATAAAATCAGAAAAATACATAATTCCTTAAAACTGTCACAGTACAAAGCGGAAAAACCACGAATAAATCGGTTCGGTTATGTTCGTAGATTTGCAAACGATTTATTTATGTAATGGTGTGATTTAGACTATCCTTGTTGATCTCGACAACACCCATTAATAGATTTTTCCGCTAAATGATGGAAATAAATATAGTGAGCGTAGATACTCGATTCTCGGAAACCAGATCGTAGATTTTCTTTGAGTTGTAGCAAAGAAGCCAATGTGATTAAGATAGTGAAGGTCAGTAATAAGTATCAACCTTAGATTAATCTTTCTGTAACCCTGGTCTTTTATCGATTAATGTCCCACGATCTCTATAAAAAAGGGATTTTTTTTTTTCAATTATTATCTTATCGTCGTAGAGATGGATTTTTCAGATTTTCATTCATCTTAATATTTCTGTTAAATAATTGAAGGCATGATTTTTTTTCTAACAAATGACAAATATTATACATACATACATAAGACAATTCTGAGGTCTTGTGACTTTAACAACTAAAGATACTTGATTACTAGCATGGTTTATTAGTATTTTTGATTGATATTGTCATAAGAAAATGCATTAAAAAAATATATTATTTCAATTTCTTCGAAACTTTAAATATATAACATAGCACTTACATTCATTCACTTTTTCGATTAATTTTTTTTTTTTGTTCTTTTTTGGTTTTAAGACTTGTAAAAGCAAGTCCTATTTTGCCAGTAAAATATTTTAATTTTCATAGTAAGATGAAATTACACTGGATATTTATTAATTATTTACAGATAGATGATCACTGAATGTAACTAAATATTGAATTTAAGTTATATAGAACTTAAACTAGAAAGACTAATAGTTAAAAACTGAGGTGACAGTAGTTTCATAACAATTAAATGTAAATAAGAGGCGACTTTTATTAAATAACTGCTTTTATGTCATTCAAAAACTTTATCAAGTCACGGGCGTTATCTTTATTCATCGGCCGAACAAAGTTAGCTCCATCATCCGTAGTTTGCGGTCCTGAACTAATTCTTCTTCGCTTCTCGAATCTTTTGCACTTGAAGGCAATATGTCTTGGATCCTCCAAGCATTGAGTAACTGACCACTCTTAGCTATACCCATTAGATGTAGATATTTATTAGTTATCGATTAATTTATAACTTGGTACTAATTATTTAAACCATAGTGATAATAAAACTGTGTTTATTTACTCAAATTATAATAGATATTTATCTGTATTTTTAAGCGACCAATTAAATGTTTCCAATCCTAATAATTACGTTTAAGATAAAGAAACCTGCTGATTGCTTCAATTATTTTTATAATAATTTGGATAAAAAACACAGTTTTATTATCACTGTAGATGATAAATCTTTAAAAAAAATGTTTTTAATTAATAAAAAGTATACTTATGCATTTATATTTATTATAATACATTCCAGATCATGAAAAAAAAAAAGAATTTAAGGCTTTTCAAGTCATTTTTGCTGACTATATGGTTACTTTTAGGTGACAGGTCATCAAATTACCTATTTTTTTCCGTAACGTGAATTGAATCACAAAACGTAATTTATGTGAACTTAAAGCTTATTAAACGAGGAAGTTTTTTTCTAACAGTGGGGTATCAGTAGTGTAGTTGGGGGTTGATAAAAAAAAAGTAAAAATAATTTATGATTTGTCCTTAACGGAACATAGCTGAGTTCTATCGCTCAATAGTCCTGTTTAAATGGTTTGAACATTGACAAACTGTACTTTTATTAAAAGTAAATTTTATTTAGTTTACTATGGAGCAATTTTTAATTAATAATAAATAAAATATTTTTGTAGTTATCGCTTTCTATTCAATAAAAAACTTACTTAAAAAATCACAAATCTTGGATTTCCTACTTTTCTGCTGGGAATTAGGCTATTGTTTACATCAATTTCTTTGTAGATCTTGATATCTACTATCAACATTTTAAAAAAAAGTCGATGCACTTCATGCTAAATTTCGATTCAGACTCTACAAATCTAGATTTCTACAAACGCAAACAAAACCAGAATTTAATACAAACATCTTTGGGATAAACGCAAATAAACATTGAATAAGTATTGAAAAAAAATATTTAATTCGAAAATAAGTGGATTGGTTGTTAACCATAATGTTACCTAAACGAACAATCCCATTATATCATTTCGACTCCAAATAAAAATTATGTAAATAATAAATAAACTCTTAAATCATCGATTACGCCTGAGCATCTATTTCCTTTTAACCTGCCACAACAAATATAATTCTCTACATGCAACATGCCAAACCTGGACAAACCACACACACACACAATCATTATTAGTGCAGAAAACATGATTGTGGTTTTTGTTAATTGAAAACAATCCAATAAAATTATATTCACCTTTTTAAAAAAAAAAATGTTTTTGTAAACTACAATGAAATCTGCTCAGCGAATAAATTAAATTTTACATTTTTTTTTTTCTTTTCTGTTCATCATTGGTAAGAAATCAGCTATTAATTTAGAGCCATCGTGATGCAAAATAATCATTCCAAGAAATGCTACCATTAATAAACTGTCTGCTCATTTATACGTCAATTCATATCAGACATTTACCATTTAGCTAATTATTTTATGTATTCATTAATGTTAATACAAGTATACGATTTCAAAATGTTGCATTCTAATACCAGCCAACTCCATTTTCCAATATTAAGAATTTTATTTTATTTTCTTCGACAATTTTGTGTTATGTTATATATGGAGTAAATAAAGACAATTTTTTTTTTTAAACGTAATTTTTATGTTTTGGGGAAAACTATTTTATCTTAATTAAATACCGTTCGTTATTTTATCTAACACTATCGTGATTAAAACCGTATTGATTTCGTATATTAAATTCAAATTATTTTTATTTATAAATGTATTCCATGCTTAGAAAAAAACGTTATAAACAATTAGTTCAAAAAATAAAGTTTTATTCTTCATAAGTACTGTCTTAAATAAAATCTCTAGAATCAATACTATTAAGACAAGAAAATCTATTATTTAAAACTATTTATTTTTATTTATATATTTATTTTATTTATATATTTAGTTTTATTTATTATTTATTTTTATTTATTGTAAATATATTGTGAATGTGCTCTCTGAACACTATTATAAATGTCCTTAATTGTGATAGATACTAATATTTCTGAATAAATAAATAAAGAGATTATTTAAAACAGTTTAGCTTGTTAATACTGTGGAAAATAAAATTGTAATAATATTTAAATTTCATCATTTAAATATTTCAATATCAATTCAGATAAAACGTAATTAAAAAAAAGAAAATACTTTTTAAAAAAAATAGAAAATTATTTTAATGAAATAATATTAAGATTTCAAGAAAGCCTTATTTATATATCCCAATTACCAGTAAATAAATAACCAATCAACATTAGAATGTATTAGGATCAGAGTTCCCACTTTGGTAAAAAAGTTCCCTTTTTAGAAAATTCCAAGAAAGAAAGGGAAGAATTATAAACAATTTGTATCAATCAAAGCCGAATCTTACAGTTGAACGTGTTGTTTTAATAACATAATAGAAGTAAATACATATAATATTATTTATTAATTTGTATATGTTTGGGCTGAAGGAATTTTTAAGTTAGTTCTGAGAGGGAAAAAAATCTGAGTGATCAAAAAGGAAATTATAGAATAAAATATGGTGGAAACGCAGGTTGGGATGTTTGGAAGTGTACACTGTCTTTTTTTTCTCCCTTTAACTGTTGATGTAAGATGTATTATGTTCCGCATTTATCTGATATTGTCTTTTTTTGTTCTGGTGAAACGTTGTCTGGTTATTTACAGGTATTAGGGATACTTAAGGCATTGTTTCTGCGTCCAATTATGTCCTAGTAATATGTCATCAAATGAACAACTTTTTTTTTCTAATTGACCCTAAATAGAGATCATTAATGAATATGCATGCTATTGTCTGTACCAACTGATATACTTTCTAATTGTTTCGATGTCTTAAATATTTTTAGTATTTGCTTTACATCGTTAGTAGCAAAGGCTTGGAGCACCATTCGAGTGTTTTAAAAAAGTAATCAAACAAGCTTTCTTACTTCGTAAGACCAGGTGCAGGAAACTCCGGCGAACTTCTGGACACACCTCCCCAGCTCCACGTCTTCGTGCGTGGTGTAGAGGTTCTTGAGGCAGTAGCGGATGTGCGGTGCCACCCTCGCCAACACTTCCCTGCTCATGATGACGCCCGGGCCTCCCATGCAGAAGTTCTCGTCGTACTCCAAGCTCAGGAGGCCGAACTCTTCTTGGTTACCCCGGCCGGCTTGTCCGATGAAGTGGGCTTTTCTAGAATCCACAGACCTGTTTGGAAAGAGAAAAATACTATTTAAATAAATTAAACAAATGGAAAATAAAAATAAAATAAATTTAAGACTACAAATTAATTTATTTCTTATCGATGGTCAACCTCACAGATGTAATATCACATTTTATAAAATCGAGTAAAAATTAAGATTTGACCGCATATAAGAATTCCGTATTTATCCATTCTCCATAGCTTTGCTGACGATACGGCAATACTTTCTTCTCACAAAAATCCCACTATCGCTTCAATAGCCCTTCAAAATCACCTGCACGACCTTAAAAAATGGTATCACAAATGGAGAATTAACATCAATCCCAGCAAGTCAACTCATGTTAGCTTCTCCCTGAGGAAGATCTCGTGTCCTGTTGTGACAATAGACAATAAATCAGTTTCCTCAAAAACACATGTACGGTATCTCGGACTAACTTGGACAAAAAAATCACCTGGAACATTCACACTAAATTAAAAAAACAAGAACTGACCAGACGATACAAACAACTGTCACATCTTTTAGACTACAGATCTCCACTCAACTTACTAAACAAGCGACTAATCTACAGCACTATACTAAGACCTACTATTTGGACATACGGAGCAGAACTTTGGGGTTCCGCAAAACAAACACACATAAACAAAATTCAAACTACACAATCCAAAATACTCCGTAAAATCGTCAATGCTCCTTGGTTTATTTCAAATCACACCATACACACAGACATGAACATACCAAAAGTAAAATCCTACATACACAACAAGTACACAACATTTCACTCTTCTTCTCTCAATCATCCGAATCCACTCGTTCTATCTCTATCTTCCTCCCTGTTACCTGGTGAGCCTCAAAGACGACTAAAAAGGCAGTGGCCTAGAGATCTGCTGAAAAGTTAAGAAAATATCAGGAATTCAACAAGATATAATTAACGCCAACACATTTGCTTGATGCGTTCCAACGCAGTGGCAAATTTAAAATAACAAAAAAAATATGTATACATATTTTTATATGTATCATAACAGATTTATTATTATTGTGAATATTGAAGTTGGATTTTTTTAAAACTTTATTTCTCTACTTACACCCGTCAGAAATATTCAGAAAACAGTGAATATATATATCCTGTCGGGAAGTATAATAGTGTATTATATTAGAGATTAATAGGCTGGAGGGAGAAGAGTGCCCAGCGGCATCCATTCATTTCTTGAATTTAGTATTTACAGGTAATCTATGAGGTCCCTCATCCAGCTTCTTTTGAGACTCCTATAGGTGTTATCTGCCATGTTAATTGCGCCCATACTTCGCATGAGACTATTAGTATGTTCGTGTATGTTGTTTTTAGTGCATCCGTATATGTTCGTTAACTACTTGAAGGTCTTTATGTAAAGTAATGTTTGTGACGTACTATGAAGCTTTAGTTATACTTCCGGAAATTTTTAACAGAAAACTTGTAATTTAGGTAAGCGGCTCTTTTTGACTATCCTGTAAATCTGTGAAGAATAGGTTTAAACGGGCTTCGAAGGTAAATTTATTAAGTGTACACTCTCAATTTTAGTTTTAAGTTTGAACTTCTCGAAAGAAGTGAGTATAATAGTTGTCTAGGGTTTAACATTCTTCGTTTTTGTTGATATCTAGGCCCCACTAGCGGATCCAGGATTTAATTTTGAGGGGGGAGAGAGCTTCAGCCCGAAAGCTTTTTTTTTTCATAAAAATAACGATACTTACTTTGGAAAAAAATAAAGAACCTAACTCCCTATATAAAATGGTGTTTAAGTGATTCCTAAAGTCCTTTTTAAATGTAATTACACGAACAATAATACTTTAAGAGTAATTTTTTTCCATAAAACATGGTTATATTTTACCATTTGGGGGGGAGGTTCAGCACAAAGCTCCCCTCCCCTCCCCCCCGTAGATCCGCCTCATGTCATTCTTCTGTCAAATGGCAGTCCAAGATATTGCATTTTATCTGTTTGACGTTTATGAAGACCTACATCAGATATTTTCTAATTTTTGGTTAAATTAGCAATCACAACAGTTGTCAGTTGACCATCTTTATGTCATTAATATTTTTATTTTATTTTCGTCTTTTAACATATATTTTCATCTTAACTGTAATGTATCGATCAATCAATTGTGAATCAATTGATCAAATTATGTGACTATGTCAGAAAATAATGACATACCAGGTATGGAAAAGTAGAGTACTCGGTTAAATCTCTTACCTAGTTTGATTCAATTGCTTTGGTTGTTTAATAAAGATCTCTCATCCAGCGCATTTTTAGTCTACTCCTCATATCCAAGGTGTATACAGACTGTAGCCATATTTCTTATAAAACTGGTGATATTTTCGTTTCAATTTTTACAAATTCGTTGCTAAAGGATCGTTAGGAAGAGTTTTGTTAATCACTTACCAATATGCTTTTGTAATAACTTTCATTGGAAGGTTTGAAGTTTTTGTATGTGTGTCTTTTTTTCTTTACCATATATCTGCTAGTATATATTTTATTTTTTATTATAAAATCTACTCATCTTTAAACGTTTTATTCATTAATTACGGCTTTTATCGAACAACGCTCAAATATTTATATGATTACTCGTTCTGTATAAAATATTTATGCATTTTAAATTTTAACAGATTTCAGTGATCTAGAGATGAATTTTAGACATTAAATATGCCCTTGTTTGACCTTTTGATTACGTAAATTTGTAGAAGCGAAGAAAGAAAAACACTGTTTTGATGATTTTATTGCGTAAAGATATTATCTTCCATTGATTCAACTATACTAGTTACTATCAATAATAATCGTACAGACAAGCGTATCCATTTAACAATAAGGAAAAAACAGTTATCTTTTTTAATTGTATATTTCAATTAAAGGCAAATTCAGTGAAGGACGAGTTCCCCTATTTTTAAGAAAAAGAAAATTTAATTTTTGTATAATTTTATTTAATGCGCTCCAAATTTTTATCTTTAACTAATTAAGCTTTTTTTTAAATTTATCACAATGTAGTTATTTTATATTTTGAAACTCATTCGCCTAAATCGAAACAAAAATGAATTTCTCCAACATGAACCGGAGAAAAAGTTTAATAATTGTAAAATTTTATATCGTTGATATTGGCTTGGAATGGTCTTAGTAATTAATTTAATAATTTTATTTATTAAATATAATTTAATATTTAATTTTGTACTTTTTTGTTATTCTAAAGGGACTTTGTCCCAGAATAAAATTATTTTCTATTCTTTTCTATTCTAATTATAATATATTAGAACCTTAAAAATACTTTTTTATTAATTTAGTGCCTCCCAAAAGACAATTTTTGAATCTACCCCAGATTTCGAATTACTTGCAGAAAATGTTTTCATCTATTTTAATTTATCTTTAGCGTCATTGTTTAATATAATATGGTTTGATATAACTTACTATTCCATTTCACGGCTTGTATTACCACGGTTCAAGTGCAAGACCTAGGCGAGTCTTGGTCTTGTGCAACAGTATTGCTGTTACCTACTTGCTTCTTACTATAGAGATATTACTGTAATTTTTCAGATAGGGGAAACCTAACTAAGCCAAAATGGAAAATTGAAAGAGTTAAATGCAAAAATATTCTGTTCACACTAATTCTTTACAAATAGTAACTAAAATTATCGAGTATTAGTAACTATTTTGTCTTAATTTTTAATTACAGAGACGATTTTTTTTACCGGTCTTGTTCTTGCAACAGGAACCTAATTTGTTCCTTGCTATCTATACTTAATTCACAATTTGAAATTTTCTATTCAATATCTTAATCTCTCACGCGAATGCAAAGTTTCTCTACTTTCAGCAGTTAGGAAGTAAAAAATCTTCAAGATGTTCAACATTGCCAAGCACTAGCAGATCCAGGATTTAATTTTGGGAGACAGCTTCGTCCGAAAAATTTTTTTTCTTCATAAAAGTAACGATAATTACTTTGGAAAAAAATAAAGAAACTAACTACCTCTATGAAATAGTATTTAAGTGATTCCTACAGTCCTTTTAAGTGTAATTACACGAAAAATAATACTTTAAGAGATAATTTTTTTTCATAAAACATGGTTATATTTTACCATTTTAAGGGGGGGCTTCAGCCCCAAAGTCTCACTCCCCCGTATATCCGCCTGTGTTGCCAAAGGAAGTCCTCTTTGCTGGTTAATTAACTGATTATTTCAGCTGTAATGACAAGCCCATTATCCTATATGTTCCGGAACAATAAAATTTCAGCCGGTTAGAACTAATTTAGATTATATTTCCGTCCGTTGAAAACCGAATCCGGAGCTAAAGATTATCTTAGCCAATAGGCCAAGAAGCAATTTTTTTTAGGGGCGATGCTAATCTTCTTTTTACTTACTTTTATTATTTTTCTATATTATTTATTTTTATTTATTGTAAATAGAGTGTGAATGTGTTCTCTGAACACTATTATAAATTTCCTTAGTTGTGTTAGATTGTAATATCTCTCAATAAATATGTTTAATTAAAAAAAAATGATCATCAACCGATTTGTAATTCATTTTGTCTGATTAGAAACCTTTTCAAAGTACAAATGTATTAATATAGCACAAACAAAAATTTATATAAAATATCGAGTTTATACCCCCCAAAAAAAATATTACCCCGTAAGATGGGGTAACTTTGGAACAGCAGGTAAAATTTAGTTTGTGGTGATTTCGTGTTGAATACACTGTGTTGATTCAGTCTGCAAAAACTCGCTTTATGTAAGCATGTACTGACTGCCCTATTACCTTGCGGCACACTACTCTTGAGGCACAAGCGAAAGTTTCATGAAAACAAGAATTTCGAAAAAAGCAATGAAAATAAATAAAACCTAACTGCAAGAGTGTAGTGACCTAGGATTCTCTGCCGCAAGGTAGTACATATGTAACATATGTACATATGTACGCAACATATGTCGCCCGCTGTCCCAAACTTACCCCATTTTGCGGTACGTTTAAACATTCAACCCATCTCCTTACAAATATTA